TTTTTTTTTTTTTTTTTTTTTTTTTTTTTTTTTTTTTTTTTTTTTTTGTTATTCTCTGCAAGTATACTCGTTTTTTTTTTTAATTTTCTTGTTGACTTTTTGTTTCAAATTTCCGGTTTCTACTAATAATTTTGTTTGTGGGGATTTCTTGTGGATAGTTTTTGTTTCCTTATAAAAAAACCAGTAAGCTTTACTTAAGTGCATTTAAAACTTATAAAAACGTTAAAATATGTATTAGAAATGTTTAAAGTTTTTTTTTACTTTTCTTTTTTACTATGCTTCCAAGTATAAGTATATAATTTAATAAATACATTAAAGAAACAAATATAAAAATGAAATCAATTGTATGAAGTAGTATAAATATAGGGGCATCCATCCATTCTCTGATTTCGACAGGAAATGTTAATAAAACACATTTCTGATTAAGATTTAGATCAAATTTCTTTTCAATATATTGTTTGAATTGTTGTTATTGTTTCTTAAATGCAATACGTGCGTGGTCGTTGAAACTTATTACGGCAACAATGGAACCATTGTTACGTATCATGTACGTTGGGAGGAATCCGCGTGGGCGGGGGGGGCAGCTCATATTTAGCTAAATGATTTCGCAAATACAGATATTAAGAGAAGACATCTGATGTTCTTAAAGATGTCTGACTTTTATATGTAAAAATATAGCTCTTAGGTGTGGTTTATGAGCTGGAAATGTCATTTATGAATATGAAAATTGCATTGGAACGATCCTCAATAGAGAACGCTATAGGAGGATGATTACTGATTTTGTGTGGGACGAAGGAACATGGACAGAATAGATATTCCAAGTCTTTTTACAAGGGCTTAACAACAACAAGACACTCCATATAAAATATAGCGATCTTATCAAGTAGAAACTTTGGGAAGATTTTTCGCAATCATTTCCTTTTGTCTGTCGATGCGTTTTTCGTAGCGATCAAAATTTGAACAATAAATACAATTTCTTCTACGTAAATAAAACGGCGCTCACGCAACTTTAAATAGATATCGATGCAAATTTAATTATCGAAGTTAGGGTATAAGAAGTACTGATGGATTACCATGCCCGTGATAAATATAAAAAACAAATAAATACATTATAGTCAGGCAGGGCCTACCATTAGATATCCTACGCTATTTCGCCTAGTACAGTCGAGTAACTCGTTTTGGTAATAAAACACGAAAAATTACACAAATGCAAAGACACACTTCTCATCGAAGCCCGCATATTGAAGGAAGCCCAAAACAACATAAGCGCTTGCTTTTCATGATAACTCATATATATGTTATGGTCTAAAAAATATACCCATGTAATCCAAATGCCGTTAAATTGAATTGTCAAGTCAAATTTCGATCATAAGCGAATTTTCATAGTAACACATTAATAATCGGGTCTTTTTGTTATATAAGGAGAATCATCGGACATTTCTTGAAAATCTTTGCATGGCGCACGTGGTCTGGATTTGATATGATTGATTCTTTTGTTTGGTATTTGGTTTCTTTGTTGTCAATTTACTATTATGAATCAATTTTCACCATGAAATATTGAAAATTAGAGTTCGCAGTAGAAAGTGGAGTATTCAGTGGAGTATTCAGACGACTGCGGGACAGAAAAATTTAAATTAATTCAGAAAATGATTCTGATTCGTCCGTTATAAATAATCTAAGGCAAACAAGGGCTACCTTAAGCCCTTCTGCATGCTACACGTATCACAAGTGTTGTAGAGTATCAAAAATAATTTGAAGATTTTACATAGCAACCTTCAGTGATGGGTATCTAGGATTCGATCTGAATAGAAGTTCGCATTCAGGTCAATTATTTTTATCATTAATTCCTTTCTAGTAAAGAAATTAAAGTTTATGTCAATGCATTACAGGAGAAGAAAGAAGAGAGAGAGAGAGAGAGAGAGAGAGAGAGAGAGAGAGAGAGAGAGCGAAACAAGTAATAGTTTATAAATATTTCTAAATTTTTATATTTATTTTTTATTTGTCTGCGGTTACGAAGTGATAAAATTTTAAATGCACAATAAAAACTTTATTGTATACTTTCCATATGTTGTTGTCCGTTGTTTATGAAAACAAAAATAAATGAATAAAATAAAAGTTGAAGAAATCATTAATTGTATGAGCTCTGATAAAAAACAATTTATTGGAAAAGTAATGGAAATTTTTTTTAATTAACGAAAACGCTATTCTAAAGATATGCTATTTATTTATGAAAGTACAAATATATGTCGCTTGTGCAGGACGTGGCCTCATGTTTGCGATATGGTTATCGGAGATATTCAATGCGACTAAAGATATCGTTGAAGAAATTTTAACAAGAGATTTGTCTGATCAATAAGAAATTGCACGTAATAGATGATGAAAGTCCAAAAAAGAGTAATTTTTGTATATAAATACTAAATCTAACTTAGTCTCACTATTTCCTGTTTCTTTCGAAACTCGAACCGATCGTAAGCGAAAAGCTTTCAAGCCAATGTTGAGGTGAAGGTTCAAAGTTTCGATTCTAGCGTCAACGAGAAACGGTCAACGGTTAAAGGTGCCCGCAAGCGTAAAAGAAGCATAATAACTTTCGTAGAATAATCAATTCTTCTTTTATTTAACGTTCCAATTCTTTGTTGTTGTCATGCTGCGTAAAGTACAGCATAAATATTTGTACGAAAAATTATGAGATAAAATCCTCTAAAATATCAATAACATTAATGCTTCTTCTATATGTAAGTGTGTAATGATATCATTGTATACGCGACCTATTTACGCTCGCTTTTATTCGTTTTTGAGAAAATCCACCAGTAAATCATGAAAAAAATATTATTTACAAAGTATCAAAGTTTCTGACCGTTAGCTTAAGTGAACGTTAAACGTTTCATCGCTTTCAAGAGCAAAGAATGCCGTCAGTCTGTCTGCTTAGTTTTCAAAAAATTAGCGGAATTGACGGTAGTTTTAAAAGGATGTCATGTGAAATAGTCAACTCGATAGAAATATTGTTGAAAACCAGGCTCGCGGTAAAAGACGTTGAGTTTCCTTTTGAAACTCAAGTACATTGAAATCAAATCAGTCAAGCCTAATAAAGGAATAGACTTTAAGACTGTTACGCTTAGATTTGCCGACTAACAAATGTCACAAAGTCATAATTGAAACTTCGTCTTAAGGGCTTTGATTGATTATGAAATATCGAGAAATCGATTTTTTTTATGCCCATCACAGAAGTATGAGGGATGGATTGATTTTGTCGAAATGCTTGCAGCGTTTAGAAGGAAGCCTCAGAGACCATATCAAGTATGCATAAACCGATTTGAGCATGCGCGTGTGTGTGCGTGTCTGTCTGTCTGTCTGTCTGTCTGCCTGTCTTCATCTGCCTGTGTCCATCTTCCAGGGCAATGGCTGTTATAAACACTCTCCTGGCCTCTAAAATAAAGCAATCGGCTTCAAATTATGCACAAACATCGGAAATTCTTGCGCGCAGTATGGTTTTGCAAATGGAACAAATCGGTCTAAGAACACGATCCCAGCACAACATGATCTGAGACTAACTATTATTTTAAAATATAAAAACAATTTCGTTTTTTTGCACGATACTTATAAACTACAACAGGTACAGGTAAAATATTTCCACGTATATTCCATGGAGAGCCCTTCAGCACTTGTCGATGAATAGAAAGAATCGGGAACATCTACACAAAGTTATAAATAATTTTTTTTTCAATTTTTTTGCACCTTATAAGATAAACACGAACGAATGGTAAAAACTATTCTGTACAATTGCCACATGAAGATATATTATCTGTCTAAAAATGCATTAAATATCAAATAAATAAGATGGACCCCAACGCAATGTGAAGGATTTGCAAATTTTATTAACAGTGCAATCAATTGGATATCAAATAAACTGACTTGGAAGGGGGAATGCGACAAAGTAAGTGAATTGATTATAAGCTAAATATCGCGAACGTGATGCCGGTATACAACGGATAACGACGGGAATGGATATACAAGACAAGATAATTTGCCCACATGTTGCCCACTATCTATGATAAATATATCAAAGTATTCATATTTTAAATTATTATTATAAAGTCGGCATTGAAATGCTTGAAAATATATTTTTCATTCATTGCAAATTATCATAAATCATTACAATAAAGATTTTCATTATTATTAATTTTACACATTTAAGAGTAGAACGTGAAAAAGCGGAAATAATGTAATTAGAAGCTATTATAAAAGAGGCAAGCATTAGTAACTAAATCAAGACAAAATGTTAACAAAACAATGTATACTGTACCGTACGAACCTCCCTGTGGGAAAAATTGAGAATATATTACTTTAAAGGTGTCCTCCTTAACAACGCCTGTTGGACATTCAGCCTTAAAACCACGATAAATTCGTTTAATTTCATCTTCCGTAAAGCGCGTGGAACGGCTTAAAGCACTTAAAGAATCTGGCCGATAACGTGCTGGCGTCTCGAATTCTTCCAATTCCGAATCTAAAACAAAAAAAAAAAAAGAAAATATACATATATATAACAAAACGAATAAATTTTACACATACATACATATATATATATATATATATTTTTTCGTACAATTTTTTTTAATAAAAAGTTTATAATTTTTGAAATAGTTATGAAGTGCATGAGATATTTTATAATCCTTTCGATGCTTGCAAAAAGTTTATAAACTTCAATTTCTGCTTTCCTACCTACATAAGTTTACCTTTTCGTCTTTATGCCCATCACTAGAAAAACAGAGAGTCTACTACATTGGTTATATGCATTGCGACAGGTGATCCGATTCCGCCAACATGCACCCATCGAAATGTAGTTTTAACTAAAAATTATATATAAAAAATGTCATAATATTTATGCGTAAAACAATGCAAAGCATTTGAACAGTTAGTTGATTAGAAGGAAGTGAATTTTTTTGTATATTGTTCACCGAAGTCCTTTCAAAATCGTCCCCGCACGCAATGATTGACACTACTCCAAATGGCAACTGAGTAGTTAATAAACTTTCATATGGCTATGGGAAATTAAATCGACTTTTCACATCTCGCAGTATTGATGGTTCGACTCAATCACGTTCGTCAATAGATTAATTAATGTCTACTCGTTGTTCGTGAATCGCGATTATATTTATCATTTCTAGATTCGATTTTCAAAATTAAATTTTATAAATAATACACACATACATATATAAGTTTACATTCATAGATAGAAAGATGCCCGCGTAAATTTGCTCGCAACAACCAGGAACCACTTACAACCTGTCCATCTAAGGTTTCGTTTATAACTATGTGTACGTAGGGGCATATCTAAGATTTGTCGGAAGATAAGGTTTATGTATATATATATGTATGTATGTAGTGAAGAACATTCAAAATTCGTCTTAATGGGTTCCTTTTTATTCTGTTTTTTTTTTTTTTTTTTTTTTTTTTTTTTTTTTTTTCTAACGAAAATTGACGTTTAAATAAGACCGAAAAGGGAGGAAAGGAATAAAGTTTGGAAAATACTTATTAAAGGAAAAAATGTGTTCGCTGTTTGCAATATTATTTGAATATACTTTCAAGTGTGTGTTAAGTCTTGATATCAATCAATAAAACTTTTTAAGATGGATTTGTTTACAGTCGGTTGGAACATGAGATACTTATACGCCATCTAATTTACGTAGATTGGCTAAGCTCTATATAATGGAAAAGATATCTAATAGATTTAGTTTGTAAAAATTGTTAGTGTGTGTAAGTTTGTCGCAAAATTCGCCCCTAACTATGCTAATGCTCTTTACAATATCGTATAAGACATATGGAAAATCAAAAATCTTGTGCTATTCTCTTGCTTTTATAATGCAATTGGAAGAGAGCTGAGTTACGATGACGTCATTCGATAGATTACTAATCCAATCGAACACTACTTCACGGATTACTTTTCCTTCAAGTCTTTGCAGTAAATGCATTTGGAACGACTCTTGATATATCTGCTTGTACGTGGAGGAACAGCCAATCACAGTATTGTTGTTTATTATGCAAAAGTTTAAAAAATCAGTGAGTGATTCGATGATGTTTCTTTAAGTTAATCTAAAATTTTTAAATGAAAATACTACATCATATCAAGTCATTTTTTATTATTAATTTTTATGTACTAAAAAGCTAAAAATCATTTTCGTATGGTTGACTTTATGAGTTTCATCCCATTTTCATTATATAATTTTTTACATTTTTTATGAGTTTATACACGTCTTCTTCATTACCGATCATGATACACTCTTTATCAATGACGTTCAATGATGTTCATGTGTTTTTTTTTTTTTGCATTAAAACTAAATCTTTAATACAGGTTGGGACTGTAAACTTGCTTCGTATTCGTGAAATATTATCAAAATTTTTTTTGCATTCATTAAGAAGAAGAATTGTTAAAATTATCATTGTGTGCATGTTGCCGCAAATAGTTTATTCTAATTAAGATTCCCTTCGATATACTGGAGAGGTGAACTGTCAGCAACCTTTCGATTATATTTTTAAATTTTTTCCGAATTTATATAAATTATTTGTTTTTATTACTTTCTATTCTTTTTCTAAGAAATTTTCATATTTTTATTTTTTCCTTTTTTTTTTTGATCAAAATTTTCCCAAATTAAAAAAAAGTCGACAATAAATCTGAAAACGAATTACAGAAAAATTCGAATTCGTAAAGTGTCGAAAGGTGAGAAAAACATTATTTTAAATAACATATATTAAGACTATTAATTTTATTTTATATATACATAAACAAGTAAGAAAATTTGTATTGCGGATTGCGACCGAATATTTTACACCCATTGCCGTTTTCCTGCGAAAGATTGAGAAAAAAAGGGAAAATTATATAAATTTGCGCAGTGTGGTGGGCGTGGCTTGTTCTTTTTATTTTTATCGAATAATTTCGTGCAAAATTTATATCATGTATTTGTTGTAGCTTATCAGCGCAACGGGAAAAAAGTACGTATAGCCATGATGTTCTCAATTTTGATTGTCTAGACGTGTGGGCGATTGTGATATCTGCTTTAACCTGTTTCGGCCATTGTTTCGGCCAGATCGGTCCAGTTTGTATAACACAATTCATTAGCATTCATTCTCACGCATTAATTTATCATCAATCCTTACCTATACCGGTACTTGACTAACTAACTATTACTATGTTACTCGTTAACCCTATGGGGTCAAGATGCTAATCGAGCCCAGATTCCGTTCGAAGTACGTTAGGTGACTTACTACTACATAATCCTTTTTATTTGCCAACTCCAGAAAGTGATTATGAATCGATTTAAGTATATCTGTCTGTCTGGTCCGAACATACGTCTATCATGTTTTCAACCTGCAGGTCGCAATTTTTGAGATGTTTTGATGTAATTTGATACACCGACATCTCCTGGCCAAAGAGCTAACGCTAACGAGAATATATTTCGGATTGGATTACTTTTTCGATCACTTCCCATACAATGATTTATTTTGAAAAGTCGTTCTACGTAAAAATGTACGGCCCTCTACCATGGGGTATTTAATGACTCTCGACCACTATATCGTTTTTACTTGTTTTAATATCAAAGAAAATTTTACTTTAATTTTTTGAAAGCATACATTTTTTCATAAATGGTTTAAAAAATTTATCTCTCTTCTCTCCCGTTATTCCTTCGTATAGCTGTCATTTGCTTTGCGATTATCGATAGTGTTATACTTTGCACTCTAACGTTTACCATATTGACATGTTTCCCATACATATATGCATATCTATATAGGTTTATGGGTGTGTATGTATGTATGTATATGTTTGTTTTAAAATCTTCAATGTTAAAGTTTTATTGAAAAAGTTTGATAAATGACATGGTTACTGAGAATAATCGTTTCCCATTCGAAATTTTTAAAAGAAAAATGATTCTAAGAACATTATTGATTTATTTGCAATGGAATGCAAAAGGAATGAAAAACATTTAAATTGAATCAAAAATGCATGAATGAACTTTTTTTTCTTTTTAATGAATTTTTTTTCTATACATTATTTTTTAATATGCATTTTATGCATATGTTTAGGATGAATAACAATGTATGTATGTAAATACAAAAAATTATTTATTCTAATTAAATATATATATATATATATTTTTTTTTACATTTCACAATTTGTTTGATAAGCTTCGCGGTTTTCGCTTGCCATCCCAGTAAAGGTTTTCTTTCGTGCTTTTCTTTTTTTCAAAATTAACAAACGAACTTCAAAGACTTGTTGAAGTAAATCAAAGTGCATAAGGAGAGGAATAAAATTAATGTATAAATAGACAAGTACACATCTGGCACAGAGAGAGGCACATCCATCCACAAACGGTACAGATCCGAGTTGCGTAAGAACCGTGAAACCATTGCAAACATGCAAAAGCTGGATAACCGACAAGCGAGTGAACAACACGCAAATCGCAGCCAAGTCGCGCCTATTAACATAGTTCTTGTGATCGAATTTAAAGATTCTGATATTCAGATTAAGTGATTGGTGTCATTTAGGTTTCGGCAAACGACTCTGAATGGATTCAGAAGCTTGTAATTATCTTTATATTGCCCAAGTTTTATGAAGATAAAGCTTCTAACGAAGTGATTCGGTATATTAAAGTTTATCTAACCAAGTAATGTGCTCGAATGGATAATAGCATTTGTTAACTTAATTAAGAACGAAGCACCAAGAATAAATCTACGCTTTTCTCATCTGACGGTAAGGTTAACAGAAGCAATCTATTTTTATATGGACGCAGAGAGACATTTTTTTTTATTTTATTTATGTTGTGTGTGTATGTATATATGTTAAAATATATAATCACAACTTGACTCAAGATTAAATCTTACTTTTACGTGTGACACATATAAAAAAAAAAAAAAAAAAAAAAAAAACAAAAGAATTAAAAATAACCTCCAAGAGAGAATTGTCAACTCTGTTGAAGAGTTAAAGAAATTAATTTTGTAAATACATACGTTTTGTACAAGAAAGGAAAGGCACACATCCACAAATACAAATATATATTTATATATATATATACTGTCGCATTATATAATATCGTTTCAAAAATTAATTCCAAGACCTGTGGTGCAAGTAATATAAACTAAAAATCGTTGCATTTCTTTCACGCAAGTGTCCTTGACTACATATACAAAGGGACGATCTTAATGCATTGATGGATAGTCAGTTATGAGATAAAATTAAAGAAGTAATGTTTTAAAATTTAGAAATCATTCTCTTACGTTAAAATTAATTAACGGCAACTTAACGTATTATATGCGCCAGTGACTCTGAAAGATTCGTCGATCGATATCAATTTTCTTGTTTAATTGCTTCGTCGCCTAATACCTCAATCATGTCGTGAAGCGGGGTAGTGACAAAATTCTTCAGTGAAAATTGCATAAACAAAAATTATTCTGAGTTTCCGGGTAAAATAAATAATTTACCATAAAAATCTTTAATGAATGATTTTGAACAAA